CAAGTTGATGCGGGTATTGAACATCATGTCATATCATTCATGAAGACTTACTTTAATCGCTTTTCAAGTCTTCGGGCTCCATGGATGATTTGCATTGATGCCTTTTGTTGAAAGACGCCACAAGCAGCACGTGAATTAGGAAGTAACCGCATTTAAAATTACGAATAAATTCCGTTCTCTTTTCAAGGAAAGCTGTGCCTAATCCATTACGAATAAATTCCATTATCTATAAAGTTTCAGTTTCTTAATGATTAATGGAAGACTAATAGCCTGATAATGATGGTACAACGACCTATCTATAAAGTTCACGGTAAAATATATTTGATCGCCTTCTATCTTACTTATGCTTCAAGAACGATCAGAAAAATTGAAAATGCTCACTTTCGTCAGGCTAAAATGACATTAGCAGCGTTTAAACATATTTAATCATTAATATTCTGGGAAGATGTTGTGGTATTCGTTTTCTTTAACCGTAATTGTGGATTTTTAAGACAAGATTTTAATGTGCCACATAGACGACATAAGGTTTGCAAAGAATTTTTGTACTTGACTGATTATTGAATGAAGTTTTTCACCTTCTTGATAAATAAAAAATTTTAATCATTAATATTCATTACAAATGTTTCACTTTTACTTTTATAGGTGAAGCATGCATGTTCCACGTTTCTAGATAACAAAATTTCCATTTCATCTTTGCCAAAAGGCAAAAAGGAAGTTTCATCGTTCATGGGTTGTTGGACTTGGACTTCATCTTCATCATGCCTCGCCATATAAGCAATGAAACCTTCGGTACAAGAATTCTATAGTGAGAGTCTTATACATGGCCTTTAGGTGATACCATATCTCTTAATCGTTGGATTAAATTGATTAACTATTAGATCAAATTAGTTAGCATAATCCAACAATTAAAAGATACAACCTCAACTAAGGAGGGCTATAGCCTTCATTATAGAATGACTCAAAAAATCCTCCATGTCACAGTTAGCCTGATGCCGATAGTCATATGCATTGGCGGCTGATACGCTACCTTGATACTTAATCCATATCTACAATTCGTTTGCTAACCTTAAACGTATACTTTCAGCATAGTCCCATCAGTTTTAAGCTTCGAAATTCATCTCTTTGTTAATACAAGCAATATTATGTGAGGCAGGAGGCAAATGCAAAACCTCAAATTCATTTCTTTGTTAAGCTATAAGTCCGTTTTAATCTCGGAAAACTTTGAGTTGTTCATCGTTATGAAATTTTTGGCTTTTTGGGCCAAAAAATTAAAAAGACTTTCCAAAGTATTTGGAGCCCAATTATATGCATCAAGTGGCGGGCATGCATTGGTGGGAAAGTAGACTGTAGGCCTACAATTCAAGAGAGAATCAGATTCCATTATTTTGCTGAAGAAATTCAGATTATTCTATTTGGAATTGGATCCTGAAATTTAGTGAAATGCTCAGTCTCTCACTAAGCCTCCTCAGTCGTCACATAGCGCCAGGCTAACGTTGACGCAGTGCCCGAGTCGTCCATGGCGGAGTTCGATTCCAGGTCCGATCTCACCCTCATTCTCCTTGCAAGTAAATTATCCGTTTCTTTCCAATCGCATAGTTCCTCGATTAGTGTTTGTATATCAATGATCGAATCCCACGATTGCTGGAAAGTAATAAAATTGAAATTTTTATTTCTTTATTTTTTTCCGGTGAACTGAGCAGCTGTGTTGGCTCGGATTACGCGGAGATCATAGTACTGCGTCACGGTGAAACGGCCTGGAACGCTGATAGAAGAATCCAGGTCTTCAAGAAGTTGTTTCGACTGCATGTTCCACACAAATTAACATAAGAAACATTGTTGTGAATTTTTTTTTCAATATTACTCTACAATATTGAAAGTACGTTCTGTAGATTGATGCTCGATACCAAACAATCGTTTTCTCTTAATTTAATAAGTTGTTTTAGATCACTGACCTATGTTGAGGGAAAATCTTAGGGGTGTTATCTAGATAGAATTTGTTGATGTCCTTTGCTTCGTACATGGGTCGGTTGTCCTTGTTGGGAGCTGTAAGCATGGTGGTGACAAGACCACCGGTGCTTGTTCCGGCAATTATGTCAAAATAATCTGCAATTCTTGCATTTGGCCCATCCAATTCCTATCCCATGCACAGATCATAATTAACACTGAATTATAAGCAAATATAAAAGATGAAGCAAGTATATATATATATATATATATACATATTAATGTATGATATAATTGGTGCATTTAGTAGGTACCTGAAGCTTGGATTCAAGGAAGGCCAAGAGGGTGCTGGGAATTATGCCTCTAATGCCACCTCCATCAATGCTTAGCACTGTCACCATCCTTCTCTTTGTCAAACCAGTCGACATTCTTCTGGTTCAAATTAAAGATAAACCTTGTTGAAATTGAGATTTCTTTTGGTAATATCATTATATCAATTTGGCCACTGAGATAGATGAATATAGTTGAGATTTGTGAAGGCTGTTTGTGAAGCATACCCAGATCAATTGTGAAGTATTTTAATTATTGATATATCTAGCAGACAAGGCGGCCATACTGACTGACTGACTTAACTGATTTGGACCGTTTGGTCAAAGTCTTTTTTTTGTATTGCTCTTCATTAAGTTGCATGGGGATAAATTACAATTTTAAGTGCGTGGTGTTCCTATGTTGGTGTACGTCATAATAGATATGTTATGGAATTAGGATATAAAGTTAATAACACATACATCGGTTATAACATGAATAGAGTGAGAACACCTAATGTCACAGTAGCGGAGCCACTCCTAGATCATGAGTGGCTCTAAAACCTTGGATTTTTTATGCCTCTAAAATAAATTAGACATGATTTAGTTATCAATATTTAGCTTTTATATGCAATTTTTGAATACTTAGATGTTTGGTATATTATTATTTTTTATTTCAACCCCCAACTCTACAATTTTAGCTCCGCCACCTAACGGAAAGGCATTGATTGTTGTTTATGTATTTTGTCGTCTACCTCATGACCTTCGAAGCAAGGATGCTACGTTAACTTCCAAAATCCACGGTCTAACTTGCCCTTAATATTAACCTATTATTGTGCAAGTTGGTCCTTGTTCTATGCTTTTAGTTTTGGTCTTTTTTGTACAAGTTGATGCGGGTCGAACATCATGTCAACATTCATGAAGACTTTAATCGCTTTCCAAAGTCTTCGGGCTCCATGCGTGATTTGTATTGATGCCATTTGTTGAAAGATGCCAGAAGCAGCACGTGAATTAGGAAGTAACCGCATTTAAAATTACGAATAACTCTTTCTAAGTAAATTTAGGTTTTAGCAAAAAAACCTAAATTCTAATCCCTTTTCTCGGAAGGCTGTGCCTAATCCATTACGAATAAATTAAATTCCATTATCTATAAAGTTTTCAGTTTCTTAATGATTGATGGAAGACTAATAGCCTGATAATGCTGGTACAACGACCTATTTATGCGTGTGCTTCCACGAGGCGCATGTAAAGTTCATAGTAAAATATATTTGATCGCCTTCTATCTTACTTATGCTTCAAGAACGATCAGAAAAATTGAAAATGCTCACTTTCGTCAAGTTAAAATGACATTAGTAGTGTTTAAACATGTTTAATCATTAATATTTAGGAAAGATGTTGTGGTATTCTTTTTCTTTGACTGTATTTTCATCCACCGCGGATTTTCAAGACAAGATTTTAATGAGCCACATAGACGACATCTGGTTTGCAAAGAATTCTTGTACTTACTGATTATTGAATGAAGTTTTTCACCTTCTTGATAAATAAAAAATTTTAATCATTAATATTCATTACAAATGTTTCACTTTTACTTTTATAGGTGAAGCATGCATGTTCCACGTTTCTAGATAACAAAATTTCCATTTCATCTTTGCCAAAAGGCAAAAAGGAAGTTTCATCGTTCATGGGTTGTTGGACTTGGACTTCATCTTCATCATGCCTCGCCATATAAGCAATGAAACCTTCGGTACAAGAATTCTATAGCGAAAGTCTTATATGGTATTTAGGTAAGGTCATATCTCTTAATCGTTTAATCAAATTAATTAGCTATTGAATCAAATTAATTAGCATAATCCGACGATTAAGAAATAAGGCCTCAACTTAAAAAGGCTTCATTATAGAATGACTCCAAAATCCTTCATGTCACAGTTAGCCTGATGCCGATAGTCATATGCATTGGCGGCTGATACGCTACCTTGATACTTAATCCATATCTACAATTCGTTTGCTAACCTTAAACGTATACTTTCAGCATAGTCCCATCAGTTTTAAGCTTCGAAATTCATCTCTTTGTTAATACAAGCAATATTATGTGAGGCAGGAGGCAAATGCAAAACCTCAAATTCATTTCTTTGTTAAGCTATAAGTCCGTTTTAATCTCGGAAAACTTTGAGTTGTTCATCGTTATGAAATTTTTGGCTTTTTGGGCCAAAAAATTAAAAAGACTTTCCAAAGTATTTGGAGCCCAATTATATGCATCAAGTGGCGGGCATGCATTGGTGGGAAAGTAGACTGTAGGCCTACAATTCAAGAGAGAATCAGATTCCATTATTTTGCTGAAGAAATTCAGATTATTCTATTTGGAATTGGATCCTGAAATTTAGTGAAATGCTCAATCTCTCACTAAACCTCCTCAGTCGTCACATAGCGCCAGGCTAACGTTGACGCAGTGCCCGAGTCGTCCATGGCGGAGTTCGATTCCAGGTCCGATCTCACCCTCATTCTCCTTGCACGTAAATTCTCCGTTTCGTTAGTTGTTTGATGAGTAGAGATGCTAATATTTTAGGCCCCATAACCGCATCAACCATACTTGTTATTGATGACAAGAAGTTGTTTCGACTGCATGTTCCACACAAATTAACAGAAGAAACATTGTTGTGAATTTTTTATTTCTTATTTTTTCAATATTACTCTACAGTATTGAAAGTACGTACTGTAGATTGATGCTCGATACTATACAATCGTTTTCTCTTAATTTAATAAGTTGTTTTAGATCGCTAACCAATGTTGAGGGAAAATCTTAGGGGTGTTATCTAGATAGAATTTGTTGATGTCCTTTGCTTCGTACATGGGTCGGTTGTCCTTGTTGGGAGCTGTAAGCATGGTGGTGACAAGACCACCGGTGCTTGTTCCGGCAATTATGTCAAAATAATCTGCAATTCTTGCATTTGGCCCATCCAATTCCTATCCCATGCACAGATCATAATTAACACTGAATTATAAGCAAATATAAAAGATGAAGCAAGTATATATATATATATATATATACATATTAATGTATGATATAATTGGTGCATTTAGTAGGTACCTGAAGCTTGGATTCAAGGAAGGCCAAGAGGGTGCTGGGAATTATGCCTCTAATGCCACCTCCATCAATGCTTAGCACTGTCACCATCCTTCTCTTTGTCAAACCAGTCGACATTCTTCTGGTTCAAATTAAAGATAAACCTTGTTGAAATTGAGATTTCTTTTGGTAATATCATTATATCAATTTGGCCACTGAGATAGATGAATATAGTTGAGATTTGTGAAGGCTGTTTGTGAAGCATACCCAGATCAATTGTGAAGTATTTTAATTATTGATATATCTAGCAGACAAGGCGGCCATACTGACTGACTGACTTAACTGATTTGGACCGTTTGGTCAAAGTCTTTTTTTTGTATTGCTCTTCATTAAGTTGCATGGGGATAAATTACAATTTTAAGTGCGTGGTGTTCCTATGTTGGTGTACGTCATAATAGATATGTTATGGAATTAGGATATAAAGTTAATAACACATACATCGGTTATAACATGAATAGAGTGAGAACACCTAATGTCACAGTAGCGGAGCCACTCCTAGATCATGAGTGGCTCTAAAACCTTGGATTTTTTATGCCTCTAAAATAAATTAGACATGATTTAGTTATCAATATTTAGCTTTTATATGCAATTTTTGAATACTTAGATGTTTGGTATATTATTATTTTTTATTTCAACCCCCAACTCTACAATTTTAGCTCCGCCACCTAACGGAAAGGCATTGATTGTTGTTTATGTATTTTGTCGTCTACCTCATGACCTTCGAAGCAAGGATGCTACGTTAACTTCCAAAATCCACGGTCTAACTTGCCCTTAATATTAACCTATTATTGTGCAAGTTGGTCCTTGTTCTATGCTTTTAGTTTTGGTCTTTTTTGTACAAGTTGATGCGGGTCGAACATCATGTCAACATTCATGAAGACTTTAATCGCTTTCCAAAGTCTTCGGGCTCCATGCGTGATTTGTATTGATGCCATTTGTTGAAAGATGCCAGAAGCAGCACGTGAATTAGGAAGTAACCGCATTTAAAATTACGAATAACTCTTTCTAAGTAAATTTAGGTTTTAGCAAAAAAACCTAAATTCTAATCCCTTTTCTCGGAAGGCTGTGCCTAATCCATTACGAATAAATTAAATTCCATTATCTATAAAGTTTTCAGTTTCTTAATGATTGATGGAAGACTAATAGCCTGATAATGCTGGTACAACGACCTATTTATGCGTGTGCTTCCACGAGGCGCATGTAAAGTTCATAGTAAAATATATTTGATCGCCTTCTATCTTACTTATGCTTCAAGAACGATCAGAAAAATTGAAAATGCTCACTTTCGTCAAGTTAAAATGACATTAGTAGTGTTTAAACATGTTTAATCATTAATATTTAGGAAAGATGTTGTGGTATTCTTTTTCTTTGACTGTATTTTCATCCACCGCGGATTTTCAAGACAAGATTTTAATGAGCCACATAGACGACATCTGGTTTGCAAAGAATTCTTGTACTTACTGATTATTGAATGAAGTTTTTCACCTTCTTGATAAATAAAAAAATTTAATCATTAATATTCATTACAAATGTTTCACTTTTACTTTTATAGGTGAAGCACGCATGTTCCACGTTTCTAGATAACAAAATTTCCATTTCATCTTTGCCAAAAGGCAAAAAGGAAGTTTCATCGTTCATGGGTTGTTGGACTTGGACTTCATCTTCATCATGCCTCGCCATATAAGCAATGAAACCTTCGGTACAAGAATTCTATAGTGAGAGTCTTATACATGGCCTTTAGGTGATACCATATCTCTTAATCGTTGGATTAAATTGATTAACTATTAGATCAAATTAGTTAGCATAATCCAACAATTAAAAGATACAACCTCAACTAAGGAGGGCTATAGCCTTCATTATAGAATGACTCAAAAAATCCTCCATGTCACAGTTAGCCTGATGCCGATACTCATATGCATTGGGCCACTACTGTCTAAATGAAAATCAACCTCAACATTTGGGCTTCAAAATAGCAATAGGTTTATTATGTTCTTTACGCTAGTCCAGATAAGAATAACAGTTCATTTGCTAACATTTATTTATTTATTTTTATAAAACGATATTATAAACTATTCTAATGTACATGGAGAGGGTCTAACTTGGATTCAAGGCGGCTGATACGCCACCTTGATACTTAATCCATACCTACAATTCATTTGCTAACCTTAAATGTATACTTTCAGTATAGTCCCATCAGTTTGAAGCTTCAAAATTCATCTCTTTGTTAATACAAGCAATATTGTGTGAGGCAGGAGGCAAATGCAAAACCTCAAATTCATTTCTTTGTTAAGATATAAGTCCGTTTTAATCTCGGAAAACCTTGAGTTGTTCATCGTTATGAAATTTTGGGCTTTTTGGGCCAAAAAATTAAAAAGACTTTCCAAAGTATTTGAAGCCCAATAATATGCATCAAGTGGGGGGCATGCATTGGTGGGAAAGTAAACTGTAGGCCTACGATTCAAGAGAGAATCAGATTCCATTATTTTGCTGAAGAAATTCAGATTATTCTATTTGGAATTGGATCCTGAAATTTAGTGAAATGCTCAGTCTCTCACTAAGCCTCCTCAGTCGTCACATAGCGCCAGGCTAACGTTGACGCAGTGCGGCCGAGTCGTCCATGGCAACGTCATCAGTGCCCGAGTCGTCCATGGCGGAGTTCGATTCCAGGTCCGATCTCACCCTCATTCTCCTTGCAAGTAAATTATCCGTTTCTTTCCAATCGCATAGTTCCTCGATTAGTGTTTGTATATCAATGATCGAATCCCACGATTGCTGGAAAGTAATAAAATTGAAATTTTTATTTCTTTATTTTTTTCCGGTGAACTGAGCAGCTGTGTTGGCTCGGATTACGCGGAGATCATAGTACTGCGTCACGGTGAAACGGCCTGGAACGCTGATAGAAGAATCCAGGTCTTTTTCTCACTTCAACCTTTAAAAAGTTTAATGTTTTTGTTTAAATTTAGGCATCTTTTGGTAAGTTTTCTAATGTTATGCATCTTATGCGATTACCCGTGTTGGCGAACTTGGTTTTTGTTAGTTGTTTGATGAGTAGAGATGCTAATATTATGCGATTACCCAGAAAGGCATCATATGATCCATTCGGAGCTCTGACACCAAATCTGTAAATTCCAGCTGCGACCCTTTTCCATTCTTTGGTCCATTTCTTCTTCAATCCATTCTGCCATTTGTTCAACATCAACGTCATTATATCAACATATGTTTTTGTTCATCGTTTAAATATGTTTTTGGTGCCCATGGCAGACACTACATTTTTCTTGTTTACAAGACAAAAACAATGCACCCATTGGTGCGATGCCCAGTTTTGGGGTGGCTGCCACAGGAGCCACCAAGCTTGGGTTGCCATAGCAGTCAAAAATATTTCCCATAAAAAGCCATCTTAAGCACTCCTTTTTTCTTCTTTTTTTTTTTCGTGGTTCCAATATGCTACCAAAGTGCCCCTTTGAAAAGGCTAGGTTCCTGGTATGTGTTCATTTCTGATGCGTTATGCCCAGGATGACATACGAGTAAAGTTCCTGGATCATCAGTGCAATTTATCCTTGTTTTTCGAAACAACTAAATTTAAAAGTTGAGTCAATGCATTTATTTTGAACAGGGGCAACTGGATGTTGAATTAAATGATGCTGGGAGGCAGCAGGCAGCTCTAGTAAGTTACAAATTGTATATATACTTGCTGTTTGAGGGACACATGAAGGTTTTGAGTCTTATGTCCTTTGGTCAATAATGTCTGAAAATTTGGCTTTTACTCCCGAAGTTGGGTGATAGGTTATTCAAGGAGCCCAAGATCTCCCTTGTATATTCTTCTGACTTAGCAAGAGCTTATGAAACTGCGCAGATAATCGCAGCCAGGTGCGGCGGGCTAAAGGTTGGTAACTTTATTGCTCCCTGTTGCATGTAGTAAAGCTGATTGCATAATTGATAACACCAGTTTTCATTGAATTAATGAATAATGTATATATTACAGCAACTGCTTTGATACTCAAAATCATATAACAGACAAACGTGAAAATGAAAGCTGCATAGTATGCATACATTACTGTGTTTTGGTAATAAGTTAAGTAAAAACTTGGGAGTCAATGTCTTCGTAATCAACTCATCTGTATAAATGTTACTGACAATGGGAATTGGATAAAAGATTTTTATTTTATTTTATTTTTTTATAACATGAAGCCAATGCATAATTTGGAAAAGGAGAATGTTTCTATTCATTATATGTAAATAAAAGTCTTGGGTTAAATTTCAGGTTGTAACAGACGTTGATTTACGAGAAAGGCATTTAGGGGATCTTCAAGGCCTTGTATTTCGTGACACTGCCAAACTTAACCCTAAGGCTCACCAGGCCTTTGTATCTCATGAGACATGCCAAGAGATTCCAGTAAGCAATCTTTTTGTATTTTGGGCCTGAGGCTTTATCAAAGTTAGTACTTCGAATTTTGTAACTAAGTTTAACAGCCACATCATTTGGACTGTATTTCTGTAATGTTGGAACTGCCTGTCTTTGCACCTAAGGTTGATGCTCCAGTCCCTAGTTTGGCCTTGGGGAGAGAGGACTCAGAACATATAAGATTTGACATTGTCATAAAAGCTTGGATGGTACTATACTAGTAGATTGCAATACAATTTAATGTTATTCTACTGTTCTACACATGCAGGGTGGTGGAGAAAGTCGCGATCAACTTCATCAACGTTGCACATCTTCATTGCAGAGAATTGGCAATAAGCACAAAGGTATGGTTAGGGATGTCTCTTTTGTTGGGGAATTTGCAAAATCTTTCTTCAATCAAGTATTACTTAGTTTGCGAATGGAATGATCCAATACCCTTTCCATTTTGAGGTGTGCTTAAGTAAACTGCAGTTCAACTATTTCCTTTTCACACATTTAACACACGTCATAGAATGGTTTGAACTCCCAGTGAGCACTTTTAGTTCATTTGCTGTTGTCGCTTGCCTCTTAAAGTTTAACTCCGCCACAACAACAAAATGCAAATTTAGAGTAAGGGTGACACAAAGTTGCAATCAGAATGTTTATATCCTGGCTTGTTTCAATTGCAGGAGAGCGAGTAGTTGTGGTCAGTCATGGAGCGGTTATTGAAACACTCGACAAACAGGCTTCCCCTCATGGCAGGTCTGTTAGATATGTACTCAATGCATCCGTCAACATATTTCACGTGTATGATGACGGCAAATGGACCATAAAATCCTGGGGTGATGTTAGTCACCTCAACAATACAGGTTCTCTGCAATCCGATTTCGGCAGGGACGAAAATTCTGGTTAGCTCGTTCTTAGGATGCGCTCGTAATCTGTAGTAATCCATAGAATGATGGAATTTACTAATCACTATTCATTCAGAATTTCATTCAATATGTATGGCCTAGATCGGCTGATGCCGAAATTTGTTTCATTATCTCATTAAGGATCAAGGAATGAAAATGCAAGTGAGGCCACCCAAAATCAAGAGATGAATTCTAGATTTTGGAGGAATTAGACTATTGGATGGGAGGGTATTCTAATTTATAGGGAACTAACCCATTAAGAATCCATCTTTTTTACTCATTATATCCTCACACCATTTTGAAAATTCTAAATTTGTCATCCACTTTTATCCAACAAGAAGTGCATTTTAGTAATCAAATTGGTTTCAATTTCGATTCATGGTAATTTATTTTAGTAAACTTATAAGAAATCAATATTATTCCTACCCCGATTCCAAATAGTTTAGTAAACAACTTCAATATGAATATGGATATTGGCTCCTCAATTCAACTCCTCACTTAATTACAGATTAATAAACATGTCATCAGTGCAGTGCAGTCCCATCAGTTTTAAGCTTAAGAATTTTATTCTTTGTTAATACAAGCAATATTGTGTGAGTAAGGAATCAAATACAAAACCTCAAATGGATGATAAATTATTGTATCTACTTAAGCTATAAATCCATTTTAAGCACGATATTTTTTGAGATGTTCATCATTAAGATGTTTTGGGCTTTTTGCCCAAAAAGATAAAATTCCCAAAGTATTTGGGCTTAGCTGGCGTGCATGCATTGGTGGGAAAAGTAATGCATTGGTGGGAAAGTAAACTGTAGGCCTACTGCCGACAAGAGAGAATCAGGTTCCACAGTTTTGACCGAGAATTTAGATTCCATTTTGTTGTGCCGAAGAAATTTTTCAGATTCTTCTATTTTGGATTCTGAAAATTATTGAAATGCTCAGCGCCACAAGTCCTCTGCCTCTCACTAAACCTCCTCAGGCGTCACAGAGCGCACAGCTTAACGTTGGCGCAGTGCGGCCGAGTCATCCATGGCAACGTCATCAGTGCCCGAGTCGGAGTCCGATTCCAGGTCCGATCTCACTCTCATTCTCCTTGCACCTAAATCCTCCGTTTCGTTCCAATCGCATAGTTCCTCGATTAGGGTTTGTATATCAATTATCAAATGCCAAGATTGCTGGAAAGTAATAAATTGAAAAGAAAAAAAATGAAGAAGCTTTTTATTCGACTTTTTAAATTTCTTCTGGTGAATTCAATGCAGCTGTGTTGGCTCGGATTACGCAGAGATCATAGTACTGCGTCACGGTGAAACGGCCTGGAATGCTGATGGAAGAATCCAGGTCCTTTTTCTCACTTCAACCTTTAAAAAGTTTGATCTTTTTGTTTAAATTTATGCATCTTTTGGTAAGTTTCCTAGTGTTATGCATTTTATGCGATTACCCGTCCTTTCGAACCTGGTTTTTGTTAGTTGTTTGATGAGTAGAGATGCCAAAATTTCGAAGTTAGCTGATATCACAATCTCAAATGTTATGTTCGAAGTCTATATTTCACAGCTTATTTACTCTGTGATTATATCGAACATGTTATGCAAATGTAAGTAATCATTAAAAGAATGGTTTGTAAGACTGCAACTAATTCCATGTATACACTCTGCATATTTTATCAGATTTTTTTTTTGGTGGGAACATAATGTTGTTCTTTACCCCCAATCAACATTTGCCACTACTACGTGACCACGTCGTTATATCAACAGTTAATATGTTTTTGGTGCCCATGGCAGACACTGCCTTTTTCTTGTTCAAAAGACAAAAACAGTGCAACCATTGGTGCAATGCCTAGTTTGGGGGTGGCTGCCACAGGAGCCACCAAGCTTGGTTGCCATAGCAGTCAAAAAAATTCCCCTGAAAAAGTTTCCAGCCATCTTAAGCACTCCTTCTTTCTTCTTTCTTTTTTCGTGGTTCCTATACACTACAAAAGCGCCCCTTAACAAAGGCTAGGTTCTTGGTATGCTTTCATTTCGGCTGCTTTATGCTCAGGATGAGGCACGAGTAAAGTTCCTGGATCATCAGTGCAATTTATCCTTGTTTTTTGAAACAACTAAATTTGAATATTGAGTCAATGCATTTATTTTGGACAGGGGCATCTGGATGTTGAGTTAAATGATGCCGGGAGGCAGCAAGCAGCTGTAGTAAGTTATAAATTTTATATATACTTGCTGTTTGAGGGACACATGAAGGTTTTGAGTCTTATCCTTTGGTCAATAATGTCTGAAAATTTGGCTTTTAATCTTGAAGGTGGGTGATAGGTTATCCAAGGAGCCCAAGATCTCCGTTGTATATTCTTCTGACTTAGCACGAGCTTATGAAACTGCACAGATAATTGCAGCCAGGTGTGGGGGGATAAGGGTAGGTAACTTTGTTCAAGTTGCTCCTTGTTGCATGTAGTAAAGCTGATTGCATAATTGATAGTACCAGTTTTCATTGGAGTAATGAATAATGTATATATTACGGCAAGTGCTTTGATGCTCTAAACCATATAACAGACAGACATGAAAATGAAAGCTGCATGGTATGCATACATTACTGTCTTTTGGTAATAAGTTAAGTAAAAACTTGGAGTCAATGTCTTGGTAATCAACTCATCTGTATGAATGTTACTGACAATGGGAATTGGATAAAAGAATTTTTTTATAACATGAAGCCAATGCATAATTTGGAAAAGGGAGAATGTTTCTATTCATTATATGTAAATAAAAGTCTTGGGTTAAATTTCAGGTTGTAACAGATGTTGATTTACGAGAAAGGCATTTAGGGGATCTTCAAGGCCTTGTATTTCGCGACGCTGCCAAAATTAATCCTAAGGCTCACCAGGCCTTTGTATCTCGTGAGACATGCCAAGAGATTCCAGTAAGCAATCTTTTTGTATTTTGGGCCTGAGGCTTTATCAAAGTTTGTAGTTTGAATTTTGTAACTAAGTTTAACAGCCACATCAGAAAAGTACTCCATGGAGAAATATTATGGAATTTTTCTGCCCATGACAGCTAGCCTATTAGAGCTGGAGGTAGTATGCATTTTTTACTGTCTTTCTGTAATCTTAGAACTGCCTGTCTTTGCAACTGACTAAGGTTGATTCTCCAGTCTCTAAGCCTTGGAGATAGAGGACTCAGAACATATAAGATTTGAGATTGTCATAAAAGCTTGGATGGTACTATAGTAGTAGTACTAATATTGATCTATGTTGTCTAATCATGTGATAAATGTCTGGTTGATGACCTATTCCTTATGGACTTTGCTGTTTTATTCGTGGTAAGGAGGACACATGGCTGTCATATCGTGGTCAGAAAGGGTGAAAATCTACCAATATGTAATTACAATAATGGATGCCCTAAATTCTTTGGGGGCATGAATTTTAGCTTTGGAGATTGCAATACAAATTTATGTGTATTCCACTGTTCTACACATGCAGGGTGGTGGAGAAAGTCGTGATCAACTTCATCAACGTTGCACATCTTCAGTGCAGAGAATTGGCAATAAGCACAAAGGTATGGTTAGGGATATCTCTTTTGTATCTTTACTGCTGGGGAATTTGCTAAATCTTTCTTCATTCAAGTTTTAGTTAGTTTGCGAACAGAATGATCCCATACCCTTTCCATTTTGAGGTGTACTTAGGTAAACTGCAGTTCAACTATTCCCTTGTCACATGTAACACATGTCATAGAATGGTTTGAACTCCAAATGAGCACTTTTAGTTCATTTGCTGTTGTTGATGCTATGCCTGTAGGAACTATTCCAATGTTATTAAGACCTTGCTTGCCTCTTAAAGTTTAACTCGGCCACGACAAAAAATGCAAATGTAGAGTAAGGGTGACACAAAGTTGCAATCTGAAAGTTTATATCCTGGCTGGTTTCAATTGCAGGAGAGCGAGTAGTTCTGGTCAGTCATGGAGGGTTTATCAGAACACTCTACAAACAGGCTTCCCCGGATGGCAGGTCTGTTGCAAAAGTACTCAATACATCCGTCAACATAATTCACGTGTATGATGACGGCAAATGGACCATAAAATCCTGGGGTGATGTTAGTCACCTCAACCCAACAGGTTATCTGCAATCGGGTTTCGGCGGGGACGAAAAATCTGGTTAGTTCGTGATTGGGATGCTCTCATAATTTGTAGTAATCAATAGAATGCTGGAATTGACTAATCAGTATTCAGTCAGAATTTCCTTCAATATGTATGGCCTAGATCGGCTGATGCCGAAATTTGTTTTGTTATCTCATTGGCCAAGACTAAAGCCACATGATTGTTCAATCGACATCAACTTTTCAATTTTAGCAATAAGTTGAATTTATTGATATGATTTTTGGGATTGCAAATTGCTTGCATCTTCATTTAAGTTGCCAACTTCCACAACCAAAATGCAAGTTGTATTGCTTGACCTACCACATGCACCCAAAAAAATAAAAATAAAGTTGCACAATTCTGACCCAGTGACCTCGTACCTACCCACCCACCTGCACCACATTTCTTGGGTTGGAAGAAGTTCAAGCATAAGATATGACTCTGAGATCATAGAACAAATGCCGTCTTATGCATCCCAAAATCACTTGGGCAACTATCATGTGAGCTGGAGTTTTTTTCTCTGATTGGAATGCAGTTTTGTTCTGAGATGAAAAATTCTTTTGGATGCATATGCTTATTAGAATCGGTTGTAGCTCTCATTATGATTTGGTATACAGCGGTTGTCAAGTAGATGGTTACAATGTTTTCTGATTGACTGTTGAGAAGAGTCTTCAAACCCCCATGAGCTCCAGTGTTCAAAATATTCAGGACCCAGGTAAGGGTGCTGAGTTCAGCTAGGGATGGCAATTTTTCCCGGTCCGAGCTATCCCCATGGGACCCCACTTTAATGAGGCTGGGACGGGGATAGAATATTGCTTATAATGGGTACTCGATTTAAGTCGATTCTAATCACTAAAACTTGGAGTTTCATTCGGTAGTATTCATAAAATCGAAATACATGTAATCACCTACAAATTAGTATACTTTCGGGAGACCACAAGGATTCAAACCTAAGTTTTAGGTCACCTATACTTTGTAATATACTTTCCACATTGATATTGTATTTGTAGTCGCAATTTTGGAATTCAACATTAAGCACTTATTAGA